TTTTTCTTTTTTTGTTTTTTTTATTCTTTCTGTCTCCTTTCTGTTGCTGTCTCCTTCTGTCTCTGTTTTTAATTATCTCTTTTTTATCTGTCTCCTTTATTTTATAGAAAGAGACAAAAAGAAACAGAAATAGAAAGAGAAAGAAACAAAAACAAAAAGAGACAGAGGAGACAGAAAGAGACAGAGAGACAAAAGGAGACAGAGAAAGAAAGAGATAAAAATAAAAAGAGAGAAAGAAAAGAAGATATAAAAATAAAAAGAGATAGAGAGAAAAAGAGATAGAGAGAAAAATAGCGAGAAAGAAAGAGATAGAGAGAAAAAGAGATTGAGAGAAACAGAGATAGAAAGAAAAAGAGAGAAAGAGAAGAGGAGATAAAGAAAAAAAGAGATAGAGAGAAACAGAGATAGAGAGAGAAAGAGAGAGAGGGAAAAAGAGATAAAGAGAGAAAGACACAGAGAGAAACAGAGACAGAAAGAAAGGGAGACAGAAAGATATATAGAGAGAAAGAGACAGAGAAAGAAAGAGATAGAGAGAGAAAGAGACAGATAGACAGAAAGAGATAGAGAGAGAAAGAGATAAAGACAAAGACAGAGACAGAGATAGAAAGAAACAGAGACAGAAAGAGAGACAGAAAGAGAAGGAGACAAAAGAAGAGAAAAGAAAAGGAGACAAAAGGAGACAAAAGAAAGAGACAAAAGGAGACAAAAAGAGACAGAAAAAGAGAAAAGAAAGAGACAAAAAAGGAGACAAAGGGTGACAAAAGGAGACAGAAGGAGACAAAAAAGGAGACAAAAGAAGAGAAAAGAAAGAGACAAAGAAGGAGACAAAAAAGAAAACAAAAGGAGACAGAAAGAGAGACAGAAGGAGACAAAAGGAGACAAAAAAAAGAAAAAAAAAGAAAAAAAAAGAAAAAAAAGAAAAAAAAAGAAAAAAAAGGAGACAGAAGGAGACAGAGAAGAGGCGAGCTATGCATGCGTTTCTGTCTCTCTATGAAGTTTTTATTCTTTTTTTATTTTTGTTTATTTATTTATTTATTTGTTTGTTTATTTGTTTATTTATTTATTTATTTGTTTGTTTTTTTATTTATTTATTTATTTATTTATTTGTTTAATTATTTATTTATTTATTTATTTACTTTATTTATTTATTTATTTATTT